TGCGTGCATATCCGGTACTGGGCTCTGCCGGGTCGTGCTTCCTTCCGTAAGGCCGTGTACTTGTATGACAATTTAGCGTAGGCATTATCAAAGATAATTTAATATTAAGGTGCCAAGATGAGAGGGGGTATCCTCAGAATTTGGAAATAAACATGGTGATACAGACTTCAGTTACATATTTGTGGGCTATTTTTTCTATAGGAACTTCACATCCTTCACAGTATGAAGGATGGGGAGTACCAACTGAGGAGGTAACCAGTCAATATTGCTTTTAATCATCCTTCACTGTGTTGCCCTGGGCATTATTCACCACATGCCACTTAAACGCCACAGTGAATGGAGTTATTAACTTCCACGTAGGTGTCGTCATGCTGTTCATCAGTATCCTACTGGAATGCCTCACAAACATCAATTAACTTCTCTGTACTCAATTGGGCTGTGATGGTGTGATTATCCCTATTTTGGAGGAAAGGAACTGGAGCAGGAATACTACATTTAAAATGCTCCACTCACTGTGAGTAATTAGTTGAAGGTTTCAAGAATCACACCTTTTAGGGTCTCTAGCAGTCAGGGATATAAGGAATGCAGGTTGGATGGCCATCTATACACATAAGACAATCTTAATTCTGTAATTTCTTAATTTTTCAATGATTTCAGCCTCAAGTACCTGCTTTCCAGTAGCACATTATTGTGTGACTAATGTCTCTGCCTTGTTTTCTCTTCCTCTCCTCTTGGGTATAATTGTGTATGTCCTGGAATATTTTTCTTTGATAGGGCTTTTATGTTCTGTTCTTGTTTTTTAATGTGCAGGTTGCCATCTGTGTTAGAAAAGGCAAGATCAAAGAAGTGTGTTTTGAAATACAAGTAAGCGTAAGCAAATTTGCACTCTGATAGATGAAGTTCTGTTGTGCCATTGGGATGATTATGACAGTCTCTATCACAATTTAGAACATCAGGTAATCTTGGTATTAGAATAAGAACTAACTTAAAATTTGGGTGTTCATCCAAAAAGATGCCAGTGCAAAGAGTACTTGGTTAGTTTGATGTTCTTGTGGTTAACACACTGCTGAGGAAATATTGTGCAGTATTCTGTAAAGTTAAGGTCTGATTGGTTAATTCAAGTCATCATCCAGTGGGATAGGATTGAATCCTCTAGGAGAAAGTGTTATTCACTGTTGCTGTTATCTGAGAGTATAGCTTAAGAAAGAAATAATAGAATAAAGTCAGAATAATTTTGATTGGAAGGATCTCTTGGGAGTCATCGGATCCAACACCCCTACTCCATGCAGAACTCATTAGATCAAGTGATTCAGTGCCTTGCTTGTTTGTTTTTTGAGTATATCCAAGGACAGAGATCCCACAGCCCCTGTGGGCTCCTGTTCCTGTGCTTGACACCCTCACAGTGATTTTTTTTTTCTAATATTTATGGGAGTTTTCTTCAAAGCCGCTTATGTCCGAGAGTCTGATAATACATCTAAACTACACCCTGACTGCTCCAATTGTGTGTACCTTCAGCCAAAGAAGTGTACGTATAGAAAGCTTTCCAAAATACTTTAATTTACCTAACATTATAACCACTTTCTTGCTCAGGTTCTGCTTTGACTAACTGGTTTTCACCCATGAGTTGATCTGAACCTTCTGTGCTATCTTGATAATGTAGGCAGGTTGTGGCAAAAGACAAGTAGGGCTGTGTGTGTGCCACTTGTATGCAGCTTGTCTTTGAGTCTGTGTCATCTGACCATTTTACCTCAGTACAAAGAAAATTGAAATTGTAAGTGAAAGGTCTGTTACAGAGATGCAGGTGATTCCTTCCCTGACTGAAGTTATCAGCAGTTCAGTCATAACTGGCACTACAGTTCTGATGCAGCATCTTTAACAAGTGAAGAAGGATGTATGTCAGACTCACAAACGGGAGCACAGCCTAGGATACACTTCCTGAGTTACCCAGTTCTCTGCTGCCAATGCTAAAAAAGCAGTTTTAGCACCTATGTCTTAAAGAAATTTCAAGGTCCTTTCACATTCAACTTGTAAGTCTGACTAGTTACTCTAGTCTCTTAATTTGTCAGAATTTCTCCCTTTTATAAGTGAGCAGCTTAGATACAGACCTGTTTTTATTTGTCCTTCCATTTAATTTAAACTGAATCAACATTCAAATGGAGTGGGTTTTTTTATGGTCAGAGTTACAATAAAATCTCCCTTACTTAGCAAAACAAAATTTTAAAGTATATCTCTTTCTACTGGTTCTGGGATTATTCTGTGAGGAAGTTGTTAGTTGTCACCTGTGTGACTGCTTAGACCCAGCCATTGTTACTACCATCTGTTTTCCAATCTGTGTCTGGGAAGGTAAGGATTTCCGTAATTCTCAGTAGCATTATTCCTCTTTTAATACCTCCTGGTAATGTACATATAGATATAAACCTCTTGATGCTATTTACAAACTCCTGGTAGACTTCTTTCTCAAATTTACATGCACCTGAAGAGATCGCTTTATCCATTATTTGGTTTCTTTACATTATGCGCTTGCACATATAATTGCTGCTCTATGATATTTACCTTCATTTCTGTCTTTACTACGCAGAAAATATCTTTCAAAGTCATGCTCAAGTTATGATTATTATATTTTTTTGTCATTCTTTCAATGCAGAGTTTTGTGCTTAAAGCTTGACTGTTGACTATTTTTTGTGGTTCTTAGGTCTCCTGGATGACTAAACAGGTAACTCCACACTTGAGTTTGGGATACTCGAGTCCAAATCTGGCTTTAGAGTACTTGAAAGCAGACTGGAAAGCTTCAGGCCTGCAACACAGCTTCTGCATAGATTTATTTTGTTTTATTCAGCTAGTGTCTTCAAATTCTCCTTTGTATTGATCTGCTGCAGGATACTAGAAAATGGAGATGCATAGACAGTAGGGAAGGAAGAAGTTACCTGAAGGCTAACACATTCATGGCTGAGGCAGATCTATCGAGGTAATGATTCATCAGTTCCTTGGCTTCTTTTCCTGTGGACAGAGCATTTTTGCTCTCTAATAGAATGTAGAATTTTATTTGATTATTTAAATCTTTGAGATAATGTATCTTTTCTGTTGTCAGGAAACTGCAGAGGATCTTTTTTTTTGAGGCCCAAAAAAGTGATGAGATTGCTGGCAGTGTCTTGGTTATGATATGGATGTTTAAGGCACAATTTATCATTGGTGACTGCTACAAAGGCATCTACATCAGGGCAAGTCATCCCATGCTCATTTCATAGTCTTTGGAGGGCTTGTCAATATGTCCCTGGATGCAGTTCAGACCTTCAAAACCAGAAAGATGAACTGTGGCTAAACCCCACTGGGTACAGAGGGAACCAAACCATCTATATTAGATATAGACCCCTAAATTTAGATTGGATAAATAGCACTCCTAGTCCGAAGATGAGATTCAGAATGAGTTGAACCAAACATGACCGTAAGGAAAGCAAGTTTCAATATGAGTTTGGGGCTTTTCCCTGTATGATACTGAAATATGAATTGTTGAAATTCCCCAGAAAGTCAAATCTAGACTGACAAAAATTTTCTACAAGGTTTCAGTGTGTGGCTTTACAAACCTTTTATTCCTTAAATAATAATGATTTGTAATAGAGTCTAAAATGATCTGTAAAGGAACTTAAAATCCATGTGAACTTTGGCTCTAGATTCTATCAGCAAGCAAGGTCCTATTTGAATTATTCTTCTTGGATATTTGCTACTTAAGGAAAATCCCAGTGTAATGGCATTTGCCATCACAGAGTTTATGGCCAAAACAAATTCCATCACTCTTCTGTTTCAGTCTGCTATGTCATACCATACATAGAATTTAATCTAGTTAATTTTGCATTGAGTCTTATAACCTATATTTGACTAAAGTATTTCTCAGTAATGTAACTAAAATAAACACATCACCTTTCAATCTTCTCTTTATTAAATAAAGTGAACATTTTAAAATCTCTTGTTTTCTGTTTCCCCCTATCCTTTAAACTGTATTTGTGGAGTTTTTTTAAAACTAACTTAAAAATCTGATTATCAAACTGGACACTTACTTTTACTTTCAGGTTCACTATTGCTGTATACACAAATGCATCACCAAAATTATAGTGCTATTCCAAGGTCTACAAACTATATTTGAGCAGGTTTGACATCTCCTGAGCCAGTTTCCATTGCACTCTTGAGTAAAAATTACCTAGAATGGCTGATTTCAGGAAGGGTATTCCTAATGATCTAAAAAGGCCTTCATCATCACACTGTAACATGACGGTATTACCTGCATCTTTCCAATCGGTAATTAGTAATAAAGTTTTGCTGCTCTTTTATTCTGAAGGTTGGTTGTGTTTATTTTTCTGTATTATTTCCAAGATAATATTGGTTATTTTTAAAGAATCCTCAGCCATTGCATTCATTTGTAAAATTTGTTTACTATTTTTACTAATTATAATGTATGTATGCATTGTTACACTGGATTAGTTTAGTAACACATCTAGATAATTACTATTTGTAACTAATGTCTTCACCAGGGCTCTTTTATGGAAACTGCCTTCAAACAAAGAGCCAGTAGTAAAGAGACACTTGCTGCCCCAGATTGCTTATAATCTGGGTTAATGACATGATGCGATGGGGATAAAACAAAGAGTGTGAAATGAGCGAACCTAATTTCAGATTGTAGGAGTTGCTACAGCTGTTAGACTTCATCACTCCAAGAGTAAGCAGCAAATGACACTAACAGTGAACACCTTGAAAAGGTGGGCAGGCCACTGCATTCTGCTCACACCAGTCCAAGAGAGCTTGCTACTCTATCCTAGAAAATTTTGTCTCGATCTGTATTGCAACTTGGTGATACACTGAGCTGAACCCAACATATAGCACAAACGTGTGTGTGATCAGTAATGGTATATTGTGTTTACGTGGCAAGATTTTGGTAGCTGGGGGGCTGCAGGGTTGGCTTCTGTGGGAAGACACCAGACGCTGGCCCCACGTCAGACAGAGCCAGTTCCAGACGGCTCCAAGACGGACCCACCGCTGGCCAAAGCTGAGCCCATAAGCAACATTGGTAGCACCTCTGTGGTAACAAATTTAAGAAGGGGTAAAAAACACTGTGCAACAGCTGGGAGAGCTTTGCTGCATTGCTCTTTTAAGGAAGCAACACAGCACACAAAGTTGTTGATCAGGCGAATGCTACAGTGTTTCTGTGAACTCCATTTTTGGCAATAGCCTGAACAGAACTACTATTAGGGATCCCAGCAGCGTTTAGGAGCATATTGCACAAATTTGTGAAGTCCCACAAAATTGACACTTGGATCTTAAAAGTTTGTGCTCATTTGGCAAAGTGACTCTTTTTTTCTCTTTGCTTAGAGACATTCAGGCTTCTGATCTGCAAAGAAGTACGCATAGTAAATTGCACATGCATACACTTTCATGAGTTAAATAGCAGCAGTGACAGATGCATGAACAAAACTGATGCTGTGGCATCAAGTCATTTTGGTGAAGTTACATTAAGTTACTTCTGTTGTAAAATTAATGTATATAAAAACAGTCCACTATCTTATGCAAATGAGCCATACAATTAAAGAGTCCATAAAGCCACAAGACTTCCATTTCTGGTTATCGCTGCAGCACATAGGCTTACCAGAGATGGGGAGAATACTGAAAACAAAGAAGAATTTGAATAGCTGAGATGCCAACATTATGTATAAGCTGTAAATCAATGCAGGAAACCCAGACGAGAATAATTGGTTGAGAGACAGAAAGAATTCATCCAGAATTTGAGGAAGCTGCTTAAAGTATGATTATTCCTTGAAAAATGTTACTGGGTTTGCTTGTGTGGTCCACAATAATAAAGATGCGCTGTATTGTTGTGTACCGGATTGCATCTTGTATTTCATTGGAATTTTTTTTGCTTCTAACACCTGTGCTTATACATCTGCCACTTCACCTTAAAACTTGTTAAATAAAATTTTGGTTTTAAACTTTTTAAAATTTGAATTGTTTCCTGATCCAGTTCACATAATGGCTCTGCAAACTAGTGCATTGGCACAACTGGCAGGAAAGGAGAGAAACACAGCATAACATGGGAATGCGTGTCCAAGGCTGTCTTGTCCTCAGCCCAATTCTAGATTTTTGTTGGCATAACACATAGATGAACCCGGCCAAAATACATGAGAAAGACATCGACACCTGCCTCCAGGGTATTAGTATTCATCCTTCTCCTTTGGAAATCACAATGGACTGGAAGAAAAATGACAGCCTGTGCTTGGAAGGACTACTGCCTCTAACTGATCAAGGTGAAATCTGTGGCCAGGAAGCCAGTTGTTCAGAACCATGCTCGTCAGTGATTTATTGAGGCTGGATTGCATTATGAAAATCTGGCCTGACTGGGAGCTTGTCTTTTATCGTGTCCTCACTCCCTTAGTATGCCTCTCAGGCTTCAGGGACCTAGCAGTTCTCTTTTTATTTTGTCCACTGCCTGTCCTGACCGAAAACTGTTGTTAGCAAGTTAGAAGGGAAGTAGAAACCAGAAAGGCATTAGTTTTATTCACAGCGCTGTTGTCATTAACTTATCCAGTCATTTCACTTCTTTTTTTCTTTGTAATTGAATTGTCTTTGTTCTGTTTGAAGGTATTATCTGTGCCATTGCTCAGATCAGCCAAGAGGTTAGTGTTCGTTCTTTAGAAAAGACAGTTGCCACTGGCCTTCTACAGCAATATGCTGGCTAGTAGGATGTTTCTAGCTGTGGGGAATTAACAGTTTTCCTAGAAGAGAAACTGGAAAGAAGGAAAGTTTGGAGATTGACAGTGTTTTAGAGGGTAGGATGGAATAGGCCCTACTGTTTTCTTATTTTGGACTAGCTGAGAAGATTGGTCTGTTTTCTGAAACACTGACTGAAGGTGACCTGCAGAAGGGACTTGTGTTTTGCCCCGAACAAAGTGCATTCACTAGTTTGTATTTCTAGATGGTGTGCGATCCCACTCTACACGTTGCATCATGCTTGGTTGCCTTCCTTCATATCTTCTTCCGTTCCCTAAAACTATTTAACCATATCCATACCCAAGTTAGAATCTGAACCTCACAAATATCATTTTATAAATGGAGAGCAGTGACAATGGAATAATTCTCAGATGGGAAGGACATTTTCATACAATATCCAGAGGAGAAACATGGGAAGAAAGGGGACTAAGCATGAACATCCAGTGTAAATATCAGGCCCCTGAGTGTATGGGTAGGCCTTAATGGCCCTCACCAGCCTCTCCTATGGCCTTTACCCATACCTTCTGCCTACGGGCCCAGGATCTCCGTTTCGGCTCAAACCTGGGCCTTCTGTCCTGCTTGAGCTACATCATAGGAGTACTGGTGTTCAGCCCAGCAACAGTCATGCCCATGCCTGGGTATGGCCCCCACAGATCTGGGCCCCAACCCATGGCTGACTACCCAGTTTGATCTCACACCTGCCTTGTCATTATCGACCTGCCCAGGTATCAGCTGTGTCTGACCCTGGTCAGTGTCACTGGACCTGACCCTGACCGGTGGATTGAATTCCCAGTTTGACCTCAGACCTGCCTTGTCACCACAAGCTTGTCTGGTGGTCTGGACTCTCAGCTGACCCTGTCTGCCATCGTCACTGGGCCTGCCCTGCTCCCATTGCCTGGGTGTTGTGGGACTGAGCCCTGGCTGGTGACACCCCTACCCTGGCTGATGAGACCATATTATCATGCTTGACCCCTGGCTCTCCATCCATTAAAGAGTAGTTGGCCCTCTATGATCACTGGCAGTATACAAAGAACAGATACATTATCTGCCCCAAAACCACCATAAACAGAGACAAGCCAAGGTGAGCTGGGACCTGGAGAATAGTAACTCATCTTGTTCTTTGAGTCGCTTACTTTAGCATTGCAGATTCCCTGGACTCTGTTACAATGGAAGAGAAGATGGTGAATGCTCCTTTTGACTTAACATCTGTGACTAATCATGTCTGCCACTTCTGGTTTTGATCTGTTCCAGGGACTTTATTTGTATATATTAGGTTATCTGGGTTAAGTGCAGCTTCACTTTCTCCCTTCTATCTATCTAGTCTGAAGTTGTTTAGCAAGATATTCCTGTTTTTATTCCAACTCAGTATCAAGAAGTCACAGGTACTAACTGGCACTCAGCTTTGAACTTATTTTTTATGCAGTGAACGCATGCTTTGTGTATCACTGAAGAATTCATAGGTCTCCAGTCTTTGATTTCTCAACTTTGCTTTGCTGACAGATATTGAAGAAGTCTCTTCAGATGCTTGTTTCATTCCCCTCCCAGTTCTTCATAGTAATTTTTTGTTGTAAAGAACGTTTTTCCCCCAAGTGTGACTGTGGAGAAATCAAACATTATTATAATGAGCAGGACCAACATCTGAATGAAATTATGGGAGTGGGAACATGAATGTAGTCTCGTATAGTTTCACTATTATGCTTATAAGTGGTTTGTTTTTTTAATGAAAACTGCCTTAAATTAATGGGCTAGATGGGGAATAAAAGAGGAAGAATCACTATTGTCAGTATGTTTTGTATAGCAGCACTTTTCATGTACCAGCATGGGGGTTTTTTTGTTGTGCTTTTTTTTTTTCTTACCAGCGTGTTCAGCTACTACTGCCATCCTTTCCTTCTGGGGAAAAATGCAGGAGGTGACCTAAGGAATGAAGGTGCCTGTGATCAGGTAACTTGGCCTTAACCTGCGACTAGACTGGTAAATCCCCAGTGCAGACAGGGCGGCATTCAAGTTCAGTGTGGCTGAACATCCAATATGATCTGATTAAGAGAGAACACCCATCTGCTTGGCCTGGCCAGTTAAAGTCTCCCCACACGAAAAAGGCAGGAGGAACAGATCTCGCGTGCCCAGAGCTCATCACTCCATTTGGAGAGTCTCTATCTTCAGTTACAAAAGTCGCGTTTTAATTTCTAATCTAGACTTTATTTATACAAACCAATATTGTAGCATGTAGAGAAGACTAACAGATTTTAAAGTCAGAAGATGTACTAAGTGTCTTTCCTGTCCTCCCTGAAGAGATGAGAGAAACAGCATCACTTAGCAGTGGGCACGTTTTAGAAGAATGTTGGTTTAAAGTCATTAAAAAATTGAGAATTCAGCAGAACCGGAGGTAAATAGTTTCTGTAGTTGAAGAACTGCACCTTTTTATTGTCTGAAATTGTCTCACTTCAGCTTCCAACTGTGTAGCTCATCAGGTCTGTTGCAGACCTGTTACTAGGAGTCTTGGTGCATATAAACACTCAGTTCTACATCCCGTGATCTTACTAACTCAAGCTCCCTTTTCTTCTATGAACACTCCCCCCAGATTTTTCAGTAAGCTTTAAGGAATACTGTACCTTTATTGCAGATGTGCCTTTGTCCTTCATAGAGACGTAACTTGCATTTAGGTTTATTGAAACACTTTTGTTCTGACACGCTGACGATCGGGACTCGGACGGCTGAGCACGAACGTGCCACGCTCGCAGCCCTTCCTCCTCCCTCAGTTTTGCTCCGTTCAGAACTGCTACGAGCAAGTTTAAATTCGCTGAAAGCAAACGGACGGCTGAGCACGAACGTGCCACGCTCGCAGCCCTTCCTCCTCCCTCAGTTTTGCTCCGTTCAGAACTGCTACGAGCAAGTTTAAATTCGCTGAAAGCAAACACTGCCGTGCACAGCAAGGGCTCCCGGCCCCGCAGGCGGGGAGGGGTAACG